TTCCCGCTCTCGGAAAAAAATCAGAAAAAATTCCAAAAATAAAATAAAATAATCTAAAAATATTCTCACACTCATGAGAAAAAAATACATAAAAATTCCAAAAATTAAATAAAACAAATCCGAAAATATTCCCACGCTCCTGGAAAAAATAAGAAAAAATTAACTCAAACTTAATACACAACATAAGGACAGGTACATGTATATGCATCAGAAAATAAATATTATTATAAAAACTGAGAATTCTCAACTTTTTAATTTTGGCTAAATTTAGCTAACGCCCCTGTACTATAGTACAGGGACTTTGACCTGATTTTTGAGCAACTTTAAAAAATTGTAAAAAATCCAAATTTGATCAGAATCAGCTCAAACTTTCTACACAACATAAGAACTTGTATACATGTATGTATCAGAAAATGTTGTAAAAATCAAGAATTCTCTACTTGAAATTTTTGGCAAAATCTGGCCAACACCCCTGTACTACTTTGACCTGATTTTGGAGCAACTAAAAAATTCGTATAAAATCCAAATTGGATCAGAATCAGCTCAAACTTTCTACACAACATAAGAACTTTTATATGCATCAGAAAATGTTATAAAAATTGAGAATTCTCTACTTGACATTTTGGCAAAAGACGCCACTAAAGTACAGGGACTTTTTGAGCAACTTTAAAAATTCATAAAAAATTCAAAGTTGATCGGAATCAGCTTAAACTTTCTACACAACATAAGTACATGTATACATGTACATGTATGTATCACAAAATAATTATTATAAAAAACTAAGATTTCTCTCATTTTCAATTTTGGCAAAATTTGGCCAACACCCCAGTACTAGTACAGGGACATTTACCCAATTTTTAAACAATTTTAAAAACTCTTAAAAAATGTAAGTTTGATTGGAATCAGCTCAAACTTGCTACACAACATAAGTACATGTATATGTATTATAAAAACTAAGATTTCTGTGCCTGGTGGTATAATGACTGCCTTAATTCAAATCTTAATGGTCATTATTTTAATTCTCCAACTATTAATACTCAAGGAGTTACTTGGTTATACTGGAATGGAGATTATGGTACTCTCAAGTTCTCAGAGGTGAAAACTCATTGTAACAATTAAATACTGTCCCACACACACATAAGTGTGTTTACAGTTCAATACAAATGTACATGTACCTTGTAGTGACAATAACAATTATTTGAGTTTTATTAATTATTTAATTACATTATTAAATTACAATGATTTGTAATTATCATCAACACAAACGTGTACAAATGATGCAGTTACACAGCATGATTACAATAGCCAGTTATAACATTGTACAAACAAACATCTACCACTCCCCAAACTAG